CCCGCCCCACGCACACCCACGTTCCCTCTGTTTTCCGGGTGAGCGGGAACCCTTGTGCTCGCTCTGCTACTGGTTAGTGAGCCCTCAGCTGGGACGGTTTTTCCAGTCTCAGGGTTGTTACACTTTATTTGTGTGACCTTAACGTTCAGATGACAAGGCCGTGTGTCACCTGTGATACTGTCCCAGGTCCTCGAGCGATGGTTCCATCGCCAGGTGTCCTGTGGGGACAGCGCGTGCCCTGCTGCCCAGTTTCCCTGGCCCTTTCCGTGGGAGGACCTGCCACGCAGGGCACGGCCAGCACTGCAGAGCGCTGTGCTCAGGGCAGCGGGCTGGTGATTACATGCAGAGTCTCTGAGTCCTTTTTTTTTGTATTGTCTAAAGTTTTGCATGTGTCTCCTTTTTCCCCAGTGGACACCCCCCAGCCATTCCCACCCCCGAGGGCAAACCCCCACTGCCCCAGTATCTGTGTCCCTTGGTTATGCTAACATGCATGCATACAAATCCTTTGGTTGATCTCTGACCCCCCCACCTCCCCTGCCATTTGTCTCTGGATCTATTTTTGTTCATCAGTCTGAGTCAGTTTTTTAAAATATATATTTTATTGATTTCAGAGAGAAAGGGAGGGGGGCGAGAGAGAGAGAAAAACATCAATGATGAGAGAGAATCATTGACCAGCTGCTTCCTGCGTGCCCCACACTGGGGATGAGTCTGCAACCCAGGCCTGTGCCCTGACCGGGAATCAAACTGTGACCTCCTGGTTCATAGGTCGACGCTCACCCACTGAGCCACGCCGGCCGGGGTGCGATGCTTCTTCACGGAAGCGTTTAGGCTCAGGGTCCCTCCCGGAATCAGCAGTGGGTCTGTGCCAGCCTCGCCCGGCGCTGTGTGTGTGACTTGGTGAGGGTGCCGGGTGCTGAGAGGAGAGGATGCTGTGACTGGTCTCATTCTCTGTCGCGTGGCGTCGGGGACACGTTAGACCGCGGACTGGCTCCGGTGCTCGCACTGACTTTGTGCATCTCCTGCCTCGCAGGCGCGTTACCGGAAGGAGCAGACGCTGCTGCGGCAGCTGCCCTGCATCCCGCTGGTGGAGAACCTGCTGAAGGACGGGACGGACGGCTGCGCGCTGGCCGCCCTCATCCACTTCTACTGCCCCGGCGTCGTCAGGCTGGAGGGTGAGCGCCCGGACGCTGCGGGGCATGGGGGGGGTGTGGGGGGGCCAGGCATGGGGACGCGGGCAGTGGTGACAGCGCACGGCTTCCACCAGCGCAGGTGGCAGCAGGGGAGGCATGCTGGCTCCCAGTCTGTGTCGTGGCTGCCCCGTCTCTGAGTGAGTGTGAGTGTGAGTGTG